AAAAGAAAAAAAAAAAAAAAAAAAAAAAAAGAAAAGAAAAAAAGAAGGATTAAAGTTTTTGCGAATCTAGGTGGACTTATATATGGTATAATTGTCTAGTATATATTCTCGGTTATCGGATGTTACGCTCGATTAATTTCACGAGGCTGTGAGATGAGATCTCACCATACACGTGTATTGATAACCATATCTCGTTTATGTCATTATCTGTGAATACGTAATTGCGTGATCTATACGATAAACGAGTATTTACGTACATATATAATATCTACAAGATCTTATTCTTTGTAACCTTAATTAAATCCCGATTTCATGTAATCGGTTATTTAGAGCAGCTCCAATGGTGTTTATCAAATAGAGTATTCAAACATTTAACCACCATTTTATATACTAAAAAATAGAAATTGTTAATTTTAATTGGATTTATCAAATGAGGGTTCTATTTAATTTTAATAATTCACCTTATGGGATGGGATGTAAATATACTTGTTGAAAATTGAGTTATAAAAGATATAGTCACCTAAACATTATTCAATTACAAGTTGACATGTGGGGTTTACAAATAAAAACACCCATAAACTTCCAATTTATAATTAATTTGATAGCCATGGTTTGAGTAGATGAATTTTAAATCAATATTAAAATATTATTTCTAATATCAACTCAGTATTTGATAACTCAATTTTTATACCTAGCATTGGAGTTGTTCTTATGCGATTTGTCAAGTCCACGATATATATAGTAAATTTGAAAAGAAATATAATCGAACAAAACATAACAAATCCGTATCTTAATTTATTAATAAAAAGTCTGCATACAAATAAACAAACAATGTTCTGAATATCAACGTCGAAATGCAGCAACCAACTCCAAGAGGGCTATCAAAGCAAATGCACCACCGTTGTACGTTAATCTGAATGTTGGCACAAAAGAACATAAAGCTACTTCTAATACCGTTTCGACAAATTTAGTCTTGCAATCGAAACTTCAAAATGAAAAAAAATGTATTCCAAGGCAAATCGGCCAAAACCAGTTCAAAATACTCGGACTTTGATATTATAAGGGTAGTTTAAAAAAAATAGTTTGGAATTCTCGAAAATTCAATAGTTTTAGGAAATCAAAATCTCATATATATATACTCCGATCCCGATGAATTTTTTTCCAAGAAATCGGGAATCGAAATACGGAAAATCTAATTGATTTATCGAATTCGACAAATTCAGAAATTCCATCCCGATTTCGACCCTACACAAATAGTTCAGGAAGTATGGGCTCAACGAATGGTCCAGCCCACCTTAACGCAACCTCAGAAAATGGGCTTTTAAATACGTTCAGTCTAAATATATTATTTTATTATATTTTAATTAATCAAAATATATATTGCTCCCCCCTCCCCCTGTTTAGACTTTTCCCTCTTTTTCATTCAACTGAACACTGATTGTTAGTTCTTCACCGGCGCGGTGATGCTGCTACAGCCGCCGTCTTACTCCGCCGTCTGAAAAAAATCCCCAATTTCGAATTAAGGTAATTTCAATTCAGAAGGAATATGTTACTGTAACTCATCTTGAATGATGATTATTTGCTTGTTGATTATTTTGTTTCTCAGTTCTTTTAATTTTAGCATTGAATTTTAGTGTTGGTTTTGCTTGTTGGTAGCTGGAAAAATGATGAACACTAATTGTAAAAGGTTGCTCCTTTGGCATATGTATGATTTTTTATATATACATATTGATTTCTCTCTCACATGGAACTAAGTAAGATGCATATAACGTGTTCGATGAAATGCCTCAGTGGCGTGCATAGTTTATTTGAGTTGTTTCTCTTTTCCCTTATCTTTTATTATTTGCAAGAGAGTTAGTTATCATTGAAATTATTCTTATCGTACCTCTTCTTGTTTTTGTAATTGTAGAAGGTATATATGGCTTCTAATAAACCTCGTACCGCTAGTTTCTCGCGCAATTTTTCTTCACCGGCCCCACAGATTCCCGGTCTGAAGCATGGTCCAAACGGGACCACGTTTCTTTCCTCTGGCATTCCAGATCTCGACAGTAATGCCCTAATAAAACTCTTTCCTGTTCATACTCAATTACATTGCACACCTCTTATTCCTCTTTCCGTAAAAACTATCTACAATTTTTTTTTTTTTTTTGTCTTGATAGAGATTTTGGGAGGCGGTTTTGTTTTGGGAAGTCTAGTTATGGTTATGGAAGACCCCGAAGCGCCTCATCATATGTTATTGTTGAGAAATTTTATGTCACAAGGACTTGTTCATCACCAGCCTCTTATTTATGCGAGCCCCGCAAAAGATCCGAGAGGGTTTCTTGGCACTCTGCCTAATCCGGTGGGCCCCAAGGAAGATAAATCCCGTGTCCATGAGACTGAGCAGGTACCGTTATATTCCTTAATTTTGATTTGATCGATGTTGTTGAGTTAGTTTGTATTTTTTGAAAGAGAAGTTGTGTGTATTGTATGGATTGTAGGAGAAGCTGAGAATTGCTTGGCAATACAAGAAGTATAGTGGGGAACATAACTCGGATTCTCGGAGAGGTAAAGTTAACAAAGCCCTTCTCAATTTTATGTTAGTGGTACAATTTGATATGACATAAAGAAGAAATAATTATGGTCTTAAAGTCGAAGCTTGGCATAAGTTGTCATTTCTTGAAACGTATTTTTATCGTAATTTTGGAAATATTTGCTGTTGACTTTATCGTACCTTACATTTGTTATTCGGAGAAATCATTTGACATGTACGTCTTTTTCCGACTACAAATGTCATCATTTGATTTATATGCCTAGATGAAAAGTCAGAGTTCTGCAGCGACTTTGACTTGCGAAAGCCACTGGAGAGGCACTTCTTTAGTGGACAACTTATCGATTGCGTTACTCTTAATGATTCTGCCGATCTTGCCTCCTTTCATCAACGTTGTTCGGCCTTCTTATCTCAAACTCCTCGGTAGGATCATTTTACATTACCAATCATTTTAATATTAGGGTAAATTACAACCACCCCTAGGCATGGTCAAATTACGAAAATTCCCCTCATTTTTGGGTAATTACAACCACCCCTCAACTATAAATCTTCTTACACGTCCACCCTTGCGGTTTCAAATTTAGTGGAATCTTCGAGATTATATGGAATATTATCATTTTTGTACATGTTTTATCCCATTCGAACTCCACATTTTGAAGCAAGATGATCATATATGTGTTTTTTGGCTTGTACAGTATATATCATATTGTGGTGCATCAGAAACTATATTTTTACACAAAACGAGTACAAACTATAGCACATTCCACGAATTCTAGATGATTATGTTGAATTTGTCACCATAAGAGTGGAGGTGTAAGAAAAAATCATAGTTGAGCGGTAGATGTAATTATCCAAACAAGAGGGTATATTACGTAAATTGACCATAACTGAGGGGGTGGCTGTAATTTAACCTTT